ATCTATAACAAATGTTCGATTAGTAATAATACATTGAAATCAAACATGCAAATTTAACCATATACATAACATCAATGAACATTCGATGAAAGAAAAAGTATAAAGAAAAAAAAAGAAATGAATAAGAAAGAATAAGAGAAGAAAGAAGAAAGAAAGAAAGAAAGAAAAAGGGATACTAACAATGAATGATGTAGATTCGAATGGTTCAACATATGCCGCATATACACTTACTCTTTTTCTTTCATTCAATCTAAAGTTCTATGTGTTTGTGCACGAGTCTAATCTAAAGCATACATCCGATCGAGGAAGGCAAGCATTTAGTTCGAATAGACACAAGGGAAATAAGCCGATATATGCATTTAATAATTATTTTGATATATTGATGTAGAAAAAAAGCTAAATGATCTTTTATGAAAGAAAATTGAAAAATCTCTTTGTAAAAATAAATGCTTTCATTATTTATTTTTCGCAGAAATAGTAAATATAAAGATCGGAAGCGTAGATTTAAATTACACATACAAATACATAAATTAATGCACGTCTTTAATGTCCCTAATCATTCTTTTTTTTTTTTGTTCACATTGTCATTAAAATATATCGTTCGTGCTTGTTATACTCACGTCTCATTCTTCATCTATACTAAACAAAAGACAAACAAGGCTCCCATCACATACATACACACACACGTAAAGCACAGCAAAGAAAAACACATGCGTGCATCGAGGCGAGAATAGATGAATCTTCTGCTTTTGCCCAACGGCGTTTTGTGCTATTTCGTTCTCTTTTTTTTTTCTTTTTTTTTCCTTCGTTTTTTTTTTACAGTGAGATTAATTTTCTATCATCGTCGACGAGACGCGCCCCAGTTGTTGTTATTTCTCTGTTCTCTCATTTTTTTGCGATTCTAAGCTGTCTGAACGTTTATGTTGACAGGATATGAAGAGAAAAGAAAACTAAGAAAATTTTCTTTAGTCAGCAAACATTTTTGTTGATATTTGTTTATTAGAAAAAAATTTTTTTTCTTGAAAAACCCATCAATTATTGAAATATATAAAAATATATATTTTTTTTGTTTTATTTTGAATATTGATAATAGAAACGAAATATACCTAAATCTTTAATAAATAAAATTAGTTTTATCTAAATATAATAGTCACTTGCAGACATCCTCTATCGTTTTTCATTGATATAACAGAAAGAAAAGAAAATAATTTATTCCTTACTACTATTTTATTATACAAGAAATAGAAATATTGAGACATGAAAATAAGTGTTGTTTTTTAATGAACTTGGCAAGTTATTTTTAGTGATCTATTATAGGATGAGATAAATTGTAATGTACTAAAACGGTTCAATTATCGATATGAATCTTTTAAACTATGTGTTATTTATTTAAATATGTTGTCATATTATTTTTTATAGAAGAATTTTGAATATCTATCTATATACCATTAATTCTTCATTTGACTTATTCATATGTTTTATTGGTTTGCTACAATGTGCATGACTTTTCTTGCCTATTAAAACATCATGATCGTTGTGTTAATAGTTTTAACAAATTAGAAATGATTTGTTTTGTTATAATGTAAGATTTGAATCAGATCCCAATTGTACTATAGAACAGTTGTATTCTAATTATCTTACATTCAATAACTAGCAACATATGTTGTAAAATATTTCGAATAATATTTTAATCTGAAATCTTCACATCGGTCATCATACATGAAATATTAGAAAAGTTTTTTTCATTCAAGTCTTCTAAAAACTATCATTTGAATGTATGTACATATCATTTTCGACATCAGTTTGAACTCTCTTAGTCTGAAGCAAACTTTACAAAATACTGAATAGTTCATCTAATAATAGAAGACGTGCGTTGAATTTAGACCGGCATGAATCAAGCTAGTTAAGTTATAGTACGAAACCGTTCGCGCAAGAGTTCAAAAGTTATATAAAAATAGTGTGTGACTCATGTGAAAAAAAAATACAGCGACGCCTAAGGCTGAGATAGTTGAGATTTTGCATATGATCCTGAATCTGTTTAAGCATTATAATAGAATATCGACGTTTAAATTATGGGTTTCACGAGAGTCGAACGAAAAAATTTTTCTAACCATTTCCCGGTTATTGTTGATATAAATCTTTTTTATTCCTATTTTGTCATTTCTTAGATAAACTCAAATAATATAGTTTTCTATTGTTGGGTGTCAATGTGTGTGTGTGTGTGTGTGTGTGTGTATAGTCTGGATATGGATAAAGGTGTGAATCAAGAGAATACTCATACCTACATCAACACCCACATCCACACTCTTAGCATATCTATATGAGCCATTAAATCAATGTCGAGTGCGCTAGAATGGGCGACATCTGATTTGAGTAGTACCATCAGAAGAAAAATATTTTGCTGAAATGTATTAAATCAGAATAAATATTGATTTAGATATATTATTTTCGTGAAAATTGAGTTTCACACAAATGATGGTGCTATATTACAATCACCATATGATGATAGCTTAATCAATTTGCTTAAAAATAAATACAAATCAAAGATGTCGTTAAATCAATTCACTTGCTTTAGTGAAACTCTCTGATTTTAGTTCGTCAGAACGATTTAACATGATAAATAATCTGTATCAGTCACATATTTCATATGCTGCAAATATCAGCTTATAAAGATGAATTTCGTTCCAAATGCATTAGCGGAGCTCGAATTCGAAATAGATAGACATTTCTCCAACTTCTGAATACTACCAAATCACGTTCTGCTATCGTTGAAACATTAGACGAGAAAAACAACAAAACAAAAAAAATAGAACGAGTTGAAGAATGACATCTTGTTTTCATTCGTTTATTCTAATTACTATTCCATACTACACTAGGCCTGGATTCTATCCCTTGTAATCGAAGTACAAACACATGCATTTAGAATATTTTTTTTCTCTTCTCCTAAGCTATAAAAGAGACTATCTGCAACAAATTCGTTCTATCTAATACTAAAATATCCAATGAATTAATATTGTTTTAGATACACTATGAATATTTCAATATTTAATAAATATGTTTTTTAATAATCTTTACATGATATTGTGAGGGATCGAATTTTCAGTTTTCTTTGTAATCGATGGTGCCTACCTTTTCGAGCAATAATCAGGCTTGCTATTAGTAGCAGTATTCTGTTTACTATAGTAAGAATACTTCTTGGAATTTATGCAGTTCTGGAGAATATTAGTGAGATAACATTAGTATTACAACATTATTACGAGTATTCTTCTTTTCAATGCTTTAAAAAAGGACACCTTTCATTCTGCTGAAGATTAAAATGACCTTTATGCTTCTTTTCATGTCATTTATATTTCTTTTATTCATTATAGACAAAGTTGTGGATGTGGATGTGGTGTAAGTATTCGTGTAGGAATGAATATTCTCTTGATGCATACCCTTATTCATATCCAAACCGTACACGAACTCACACCCACACTCTGTAAAAACTTAGTTTCACATATGTGTGTTATAAGGTTAAAGCACTAATTTGACATATTTATCTGATCAATGTATGGTTGAGGAGGTCCTCAAATGTATTTGAATATATACCGCAAATCTTATATCAATGTACTCGCCAATTAAAGTTCTTGCATTCTATACATAAATGGCTGGATACAGTGTGAAAAAGTCCTATGGGCCAAATCACATTTTTATGCATCTCTGTCTTTTCTCAATATCATTCAATATAAACAATAAAAAATCTCTTCTAGCACATGAATAACTTCCTAAAATGACATATTTTCATTTCGATACTAATATTATTGTCTTCGATGTTCACAGAGCAATGGATGAATAGATGATGGATGGCTATCTGGATAACAACATGTATATTGTGTCTCATTTAAATAATGCATTCCATGATGAGGAGTTTGAATAAATGGCGATCCAGTATGATTTTTTAATCGTTTGAATAGCTTATGCATTTCATTTGCATCTTTACAACCATGAATAAAAATGTATGCTGTATGACAATATTTACTACATATCGTCTGGTTCGATTCATAAGCTGATAAAAAACTATAGTAGGGATCTATTTTGCATAATGTATGATTTGCTTTAGCTTGCCATAAAAGAACATTGATACCTGTTTCATCAAAGTTAGCACCTATAAAATGACCTTGACGTATAAGAGTAATAGCTCGTTGAAGAAATGGATATGCACGATAATTCCATAATATATGAGCATGTATATATGGTGTAGTCCGATGTTTGAAATCAAGTTTAAATCGTTTTAAAAAATGTCCATAATTCCTAGGATCATCCGGATGACGAGGTGAAAGTGGTAATGGATATGGCCATCGATGAAGAACATCGAAAAGAATATCAACATTCCAATTAACTAAAGTATCAGCTTCTATATATATTCCATAATCAATTTGACTGTGTACAATAGCATAGATTTTACAAAAATAAATAGATGGTCCACAATCTTTTTGACTTAAACGTCGTTTGATTAAACGTGGATATTTTTTATTGTCGATATTTAAATCAACATTAATTCCATAAGCTATAATAGGACGTGTTGAAAAATGATGAACAGCATCAAGTATAACAATTAGAAGAGAAAGATACTTTGGTTGATTATTACAAAATGTTACAAATGCTTCACGTGGTGTACTATTTAAAGGTAGTCCAGAAACAGGCAATTCTGGAAACATTAGATCAGAATGATGAGTAGAAGTAGAGAACACTGTTGTTAATATTTTTGTTTGGTTAATTCTTTTGAATGATAAAATGATTTTGACATTATTAAAAGCATACATTAACTGGAGAATAATAAGACAAATGACAATCAATAATAGAATTTGATGCGAACGATGATCGAGGTTCATATCTATGTTTTTGAAATAATAAAGATTCATCAACAATCACTTTTTAAATTATATGTCTGCATCATAGACAATGATTTTCTCGTGTAATCGTTAAGTACACGTAATTCAAAAATGAAGCAAGAAAATTTTTTTTTCATTTCATTAATACACGGTTAGAGAATGCTCGTCGAGTTTTGAAAAACTGTCTACATGAAAAATACTCAAAAGCTTTTCTGGCTTAAAAATGCGAAAAGACTTCGATATTGTGCGTATTAAGAAAAATACTCGTAATTTTCAAAAAAATTTACGTTTCAAACCATTCCTATTGTGTCACAAGCTCGAAACACAGTTTTTTTCTAATACAACATGTAAAACTGCATTTACCGAATATGAACTTGAAAATGATGTGAGATCGGTAAGATATCCTAGAATCCTACATTTGTTTTTGGTCCTGAACGACTCTTTGAAGCGGTAGACAATTTTTGACCATGAAAAACATATCTTTAAGTAAACTCGATATAATAATCGGATTCAACATAAAATAGTGAATCAAATAATATTGATTTTATTTCACAATATTGTGTCAATTGAAGTTCGACTCCATACTCCAGTGGCGGATCCAGGATTTTCGCGAGAGGGTGGCACTTTGTAAATTTAGCGGCGTAACCAGAATTTTAGGCTAGAGAGGCTCAGTCCCGAACGTTTTTAAAAAGTGAACAAAACTAGTGCTGAATATTTTTCATTTTGTTTCGCAAAAAAGGAACTAAGGCTCTGACCTATCTGCATGAGATGCCTAATTCGAATTGTAATATAAATGCACTTTCAGAAGTGCTTAATCATTTCGAAAATAACTAAAAAAAAATAAAATATACATGCACCCATTTAGATAAATTATTATAAAAGCTATAAATAATGAAGACTTTACTGTAAAGTTAGGCAAAAATTTTTACTTTTTTGCCATTTATCATTTATCATAAAAGCTATAAGTGATACAGACTTTACAGTAAATTCATCACCATTTATAACTTTTACCATAAATAATAAATGGCAAAAAAGTAAAAATTTTTGCCTCATTTTACAGTGAAGTCTTCATCATTCATAGCTTTTTTAATAAATGATAAATGGCAAAAAAAGTAAAAATTTTTGCCTAACTTCACAATAAAGTCTTCATCGTTTATAGCTGTTATCAGAATTGATAAATGGCAAAAAAAGTAAAACTTTTTGCCTAGCTTTACAGTAAAGCCTCCATGATTTATGTTTCATAATTAACGATAAGTGACGAAGAAAAAGTTTTATTCTTTTGCTAACATGAGTGCTGTGTTTTTTTCTCGATCTTCATTTATATTATAAGTCGAATTAGGCAGCTGCTCGTAATTTCCAATATGTTGTCTAAACTAGAAACTATGCACCCAAAAGTAGTCATATGCAATGTAAGGAGCATAATGATTCCAAATGGAATAGTTAGAAGTGTTACTCTTTGTATCCAAACCCTTCCAAAAATTAAAATACATTGAATTAGAACAGAGTCAAAATTGGTGATAAAATGAACAATATGATAGTCGATTTAAAATATGTTTGTAAGTCTGCCCATCAAGGTCTCAGGAAGTGCCGGAGTGTTTTTCTTTGTTCGTTACATCAGTATCAAGAACTTTTACAACGCATCACATCCAGTTTGTTAGAATACGGTCGCAAAGCTTCTCTGAGCGACAAACACCTACTTCTAAGAGAAAATTTTCGAAAGAACTCTGCCCGATTTTATTGATATGAGGTCAACTTTAGGTGACATTATAAGATAGTGATTCGTTTCGCTACTGGCTATAGTTCAGATAAAAACGAA